TTTCACTTTCAGCATGTTTTGCTCCTTTTCTTCAAATAGACCTTTTTAATGTCGTTGGTCTTTTATTGCTGAAACACTTTCAGTCCCAGTTGAGATTCGGTGTGAAAAAAAGAAAAAAAAAAAGAATGCAAAATCTCATAAAAATGAACTGTGGCTATTTAAAGAATTAACAATAATTTTCTTACATTTGATTGATAAATTGATGGCCTCATCAGTTCCAATTCGTTTGGCTGCTTAGAGGCTTAAAAAACATAAATCATGGGCGTTAAAGCTTGCTCTGATGTTGCATATGACACCAGACAAGAGCTGCCAGAGGGCGAGTGGGGCGGGGGTTGTACACTCTGGACAGCTCCCCACTCTGTTGCGGGGCCAAAAGAGAGACAGACAGACGACCAATCACACCTATGAGCAGTTTGTTCCTAGATTGTGGGAGGAGATAATCCACAGAGACACAGGGAACATGCAAAATCCACGCACAAAAAAGTGGCCAGCCAGATGGTGGATTTGATCCCAGGACCTTCTCACTGTGAGGCAACAGTACTAACCCACTGAAATTTGGAAAATAAATAAATAATAATAATAAAAATAATCACACGTGCACCTGCCTATTGAACAAAAAGCAAAATCAGAAATATTTTTACTGAGAAATTTAGTTACCTGTGAGGCTCCTTTAATCAGGAAGGCAGGTGAGCTGTTTTCACTGAAGGAGCCTTGATTAGGCATCATCATCGGTGATCAGCCATTGTCTGTGCAAAGGTTTCCCACTGTGGATTTGCATCTCAGGTAAAGTTTGTTTGTTTTTTTTCTTATCATGTTAAAGAGAAAAAAAGATCCCGACTTCCACTACTATCAGATCTTTAGCCTTTAAAATCACCATAGAACAGTAACAGCTTCTTAGTGGAGAGGCAAAGAAATTCCTTTTTTGTCATTTTATTTCAAAATAAACACGCCGTTCGAAATGTTTATTTCGTGTAAGTCAGTCTGGGCGGCTCCTTCAGCTAAGAATCATTGTGGATACTAAAAACATTCTGCTGAAAATGTATCCTGAGGGTATTTAGAGGAATCCTGTTTACTGTATATGCTCATGCTCTGTATGACACGTTCTCTTTCTCTCTCACACACACACATGCATTCACACACACACGCACATGCATGCACACACACACATGCATTCACACACACACACTTGACACACTTGTCCTTCAGACCCAAGTCAAGGTTTTTTGATGGGGGTCCTCCAAAGAACAGGAGTTGCAGCTGTTGAACAAAGTCCCCATATAGTTACCAGGCAGCCATGTGTTAAATTTGAATGTCACCCTGAGAGCAGAGAAACACTATTAGAGAGATAGATCTGATAGCTCTGAGTTTATTGGCTCAGATTAATATCTGATGGCTGTAATAAAACTATGCAGAGTCTTCAGTGGTGTGGTTTCACATGCCTCTGTACACCTGGTCCGTGACACTGAGACTATTAGAAGATATCAAATTAAGACAGTAACCACGTCTCACATTAATGGAGCTAAATTTACCTCAATTAGGTAAATAGGAATCATATTCATAACCAATGTCCTTTTTTTTTTTTTACATAATTTACATCATTACAGGCTTTAAAGCCTCTGTGAAGGTGAAAGTATTGTAAGGTTGATGCAGCTGCTGTAGGTGTGGAGGGAATTGTAATTTTCTGACTATCACTTATCATTTTTTTTGGATGTCATGGCCAGAATCTCTCTGTAGGCTCTGTGTTTTCCTGGAGTCATGCCCCAGGTGATGTCCAGGAAGTGACATCACCTGATGTTCATCATAATATCCATGTGAAACCAGGCTTTTTAAAAATGTTTTTTTCTGTAAAGATTAAACAAACAAGCTGTAATGTATGAATTTACACTGATACTGTAAGCAGATTTGTTCAGGATTAATGGAGCCAGCTTAGCCATTTTTTGGTTTTCCAGTGTATCTGCTATGAAATTTACCTTCATTATACAGCTTCATATTGAATGGTTTGTAGTGGGAGTGGCAATATTTTTTTTCCATCTAAGAATATGTCCAAAAATACTGACCTCCCTTGAAGTGGATCAATGAAGGTGAGAATAGAGCAACAAAAAGAAATCAAACACATAGTCCAGGCAGCGTTGTGTTTTCTTCAAAACCTTTTAGCTACGCAAATGTGCTTAGCTCTAGTGCTCAGCTTTTACTTCATGCGAATGAATGAATTTATGAGGTGACATCTTCAGACATTATGCTCATAGATGTTACTGGAACCTTTCCATTGGCCGCAGCCAACCCCAGCTCTGTGTCCACCGAGAGAAAGAAGTGATTTTCTGCACAGGGCCTAAGTGCTTTTTTATGATGATTGTAAATATTTCACTCAAGAAGATGGATGAATTGCTGAGATGAAATGTATTCATTGTAATTGGAATTGGCTCTGGTGTTAAATTGAAATCACGGTGAGCTGGTGAATGGGGTGACATTTTTTCCCATGCCAGTACAGGTCAATGAGGATTTGATGAATCTTCTTTAACATTCACACTTTTGATTTATTATTCATTGAATTTTTCATTAGTCATTGGGATTCAGACCAACAGCACTGCTGTACCTCTAATCACACACACAACCCATACATATGACACACTGTCATAATCCGATAGTTAAAGTGTGTATCTACTACTCAGGTCTAGCACGAATTAGTTCCTATTATTACCAAGTTAAAGACGTACCAAACTGAAAAATTCAAATTCAAATTACTATTGATTGATATTTAATTTCATTAGCTATGCCACTTAATGCTCATTGCACAAGTTTTACACAAACTGTAAATACCAACTTGTCTTAAATTCTCGAAATATTAATACTTTTCTCTTTTTTCCTCTCTTTTAGTATTATTATTATTATTATTACTGCTATTTTCTTGTTATTTTCTTCTTAATATAACTGCACATTTTCTATATGCTCATGTAAAGCTGAGGAGCATGAGCAAAAGAATTTCATTATGGGTAAATGTGGCTACACTCTTTATCTGTACATGACAATAAAACTTGAAACTTTTTAGGGTTTAGTAATTTAGTAATGTTACATTAGTTTTCACTATTGAAAGTGGAGTCATTCCTGCTCTAAAAACAGTTTACCTGTTTTTAGAGCAGGAATGACTCAGTGGAATTTGTGCATTCTTGTAATCTATTGTAACTTTTGAATTTTATCTCAATGACATCAGAATACAAACATCTTTACTGCTGCTACACATTTAAGGCATTCAGCTCAAACCTCAACGAGTGCAGCTATATAGTCAATGATACCAACAGTAACATATATACATACGCACACACACATATTTATATGTTAGCCATGAATATATGAATATTTCATTAATTAACAGTTATTACGTGAGTTGTTGTTTTTTTATCAGTATATAGTATATGTATAGTGCTTGACAACCCAGAGTAAGGTTTTCTCTCTCTCTCTCTCTCTCTCTCTCTATATATATATATATATATATGTATAAGTTTTTAAATACCTGTACTACCTGAAAAGCACCAGGTGGACAAAGCACACCTGTGGTTTCATGGCTAACATACAGCCCTGTACGGAGTTGAGTAGGCATTAGTAACAACAGAGCAAACACTGATTAAGTCAAAGACCGCATGAACTAAAGGAGATAGGGTGGCTGTGGTTAGCTTGCAGATCCACTCTGACTATTTGTAGGCTAAAGTTACTTTAAAGTGCACATTACATGATATTTGCTGACTGGATGGTACCAGCTGAGCAGTGAGCTCATGTAATCTGTACTGGTCAGAAATCCCTGTCCACAATGGCCAATTGGATTGCGTGTAGGTTTTGAGTTTGACTTTATAACCAGACACTAAATTTAAGGATGATACACAAAGCAATACATTTTTACCTTGTCACCTTATTTTTAGATTATGAAATGCTAACTAAAGTCATGACAGCACTGAGGTCCAATCAATGAAGCACAATTGAGGTGAGTGTTAGAGGTGTCTAGGTATATGACAGGATAATAGGTTGGGCTACAAGAGACCCCCCCCCCCACACACACACACCTTTAGTCAGACGTCTGAGAATGTAGGATACAAAAACTACAAAGCAAGATATTTTTTTTTTGCATGTCCTTTTAAAATGTTGCAAATTAAAATTACTAAACAGGAGTGGTTATGCAGAGGGTGCATTTAAGGATGCACACTTTTCTAAGATAACCACCTACCATACTGAAAAATTCTAACGTCATCTGTAGCATTAAGCTTCACAGAATCAGCAGAAAGTTTATTTACTGACATTTGTTAATAAGTCTGTCTTTGTGGTCTACGTAGATACCATATTAGTCAGAATTCAAATCTTTGCAATTCACAGTACACAGTAAAAAATCAGATTGACAGAATCAGATCCTCCAGTCAAATGTCCACACTGAAGTTTGATTCTTTAATGCGACTTCCTGCTCCTCCCTCTGTAGTGTGCTACCTCACTTCTTATAGACTGCTCCGAACTGTTTTGGCTGTCAGCTTTATGTGAAAAAGATCACGTCCTCCCTGGAGGTGGATGAATAGATGGAAATCTGGATGAATGTGAACGCTGGGATGATTTTAACAGATGGGATGAGGAGCAACCCTGGAGCATAATAAAGGTAGAAAGAACCTAAGTAAAGACCAGACACAATACAAAACCCACATTAGCATTTTGATCCATTCTTTTTTTTATTTTCTGATTTTTCCATCACAAAAGCCCGGAGGACTTTTTAAAAATCCAACTGAAGGCTCTAAAAGCTTATTTATTGAAAAATAATCTTGTGCCCTTTATCTTTGTCCTCTCTTCTCCTCTTTCGTTTTCTGACCAGAGATGATTGCATTGAGTGATGTTACCTCAGACTTGGGTTTCAGTCTGATAAATTATTCTGTCCATCACAGGAGGAGGGGAGAAAAAGCTGGGGAGATAACCTGGTTGTCCATCATCCTTTGTCCATGTGCAGAGAGGAGATTGGATATTGACCTGAGGTTGCCTTCTCCAAGCCAAGATATTTGAAGACTTTGTCATGGAATGACAGTGTAGTCCCAATACTCTGCAGTCACATGCTTTTAAAGGGTCTATTTTTCAACTGGAACCCCTTATTTTGGTGGGATACAATTCCAAAAAAATGAAATGTTGTGTATAATATCATCAGTCAGCATCTTGCAGAAACTATTATCCTGTATCCTGTTTTTGTGAAAGTCTTTCAGCTTTGTGAGCATTAACCCAGTCTCTGGACACTTGGAACCACTCGAATGCTATTTTAAAAAGGTTGTGGGTACTTTGAACATGTAACATATGTGAACCATTCGCAGAGCACCTCCTGTGCCACTTAAACCTTTCTAATTAATGTAAATTGCCTCCCGAGGTGTTGGAACAACATTTAAGTGCTGCGTGTGCTCTGCAGAGATCTGCTCTGAATTTGCAAAAATAGGCAAGTGCTCTATTTATAATTATTAAGGTTGATTCGTGTGGTCCTTTAGCACAGCAGACAGTCATAAACTGTTTTTTTAATTTAAATGAAACTACTGGTTATAACTTATTTTGCCAGGACCAGCTGGCGTTTGTTTACTTATACCTTAAAAGGGGCGCGTGTAGTCTGTGGATGTTAATTACTCATATCACAGAAACTGTGAAGTTTCACAGCACTGTGCTAGGTTAAAAACAATGAAGGCAACACAATCCCAAGAATGAAAGCTCAGTGTTTTGCTTGCTTTGCCTGTGAGTCACTCTGCGGCAGGTGAGCTGCAGGTGTAGCCAGTAAAAGATGCATTTCATGGCACATCTGCTTCTTGAACGGTCCACATGTTATGTGTTCAGTGTAGCCAAAGTGTCTCCAGTCTGTTGCAGTATAACATCTGTTATAACAGCTACAGTCATCAAATATCCTCTGATACAACCCAGGCTCAGTTCCAGTGTAAACTCTTTAAATCCATGCATGCTTCTTCGTCACGAGCCTACATTTACTTTTCGAGAGAGGCTGGCTCTCTGCAACACCAGGTGATATGTCACAGCTCTACACTTTCTTCTCTTTCTCTTTGTCCATGTCTTTTCTGTCTGTCCTTCACGTGTTCTGTCATTATAGCCAGTCTCTGCACAGCGCCACCTGCCCATGGCGGAAGTCCCTGCAGGGGCAAAGACGTCTGTATTTAGGGGAGTGTCCTGCACAGCTGAAGAGTAGCGGTTCCCTCTGAAGGCCACACTCCTGCCGCACCACCGAGAAGGCTGGCAAGATGTGGTTAATCTCAGAGTCTACAACTTCACACTGTACGTCCAACCTGAGGAGTGAAAAGAGCAGCAGAAATCTAAAAAAAGAGATCACTGAGATTTATCAAGAAGAAAAGACGAATAATAAAATTCACGGTTTCATCTCAGACATGTAACAGGAAAGTGGAACTGGCATTAACCTGAAAATAAACGGGAAGCAGAAACAAGGAATGGAAATGAGTTCACCACTTTAATCACAGACGAACCAATGGGAGGAACTCAAGGAAGTGAAAAAGCTTCGGGGAAGATGGAAAAAACTATGGAGCAGGTATGAGACATCAGCATGAAAAGACAAACAGAAACAAAGAGGAGAGGCACTGTAAACCAAGACAGATAACAGAAACAGAAAAATACTCAAAGGATGAAGTAAGAGCAGAGAAAAGGAGTTAAGGCTGAAAGCAGTCAGGTGGGAAATGCTCGAAGGAGAGACTCAACTGCTGACAGGATTTCTGTCTTGGAGCTTGAGAAAAGGAGATGTCTGAAAGTGAAGTTTCTGGATCAGCAGCCATGGGCTGGTACAGTAAACTAAATAAATATCAGAGTCATACTAAGGTCAGAGACGGCCTAAACTGTACTTAGTGTCAATCTTCAGTTTAAATAGAACGTTTTGAACTCTTAATCATCTCCAAAATCCAATTTGTTATGTTAAAACTTGTACAATAGAACGTTTTTTCATTTCGGCCGGTTCAGTGGCTTCACAGCCTGCAATCAGAACCACCATCCTTCAAAACCACAGCTACAGATATTATTGCATGGAGTCTTTTAGATCACTCGTCTTTGTTTAAATTTGTGTGATGTACACAAAGATTGCTTGGTTGTTTCAAATTCTCCTTTTAATTTAATTTAGACATGACAGACAGTGTTTCTACCACAGATGGTACTCCTCAGGTAACGCTGACAACGTGTGACGAGGTGTTGCTTGGTAAGTTGTAGGAGTGGAGTGTTTGATGAGGAAAGCTCGATAGTTGGGACTAAACACTTAATTAAAGCCTCGCTAGCAGGCAGTTTGTACTCTCGGCTGACCTACCAGCGCAGAGCCTCCTTGTTGTTGATGAAGCGAAAGTGAGCGGGTTCACAGATGAAACCAGCTGACTGGCAGGCGTCCACACAAGACTGGCCCTCTTGAGATACAAGCAGCCTGAGGGAGCTGAGAGGAGGCCAGGCAAGGGGAGCTGTCACATTGGATGCCCAGCCAAGAGCTGTAGTGTTGGGCAGGGGCACAAACAGAGGTCCCATCATCCTGCTGCCACCAGCGGACCCCTTTCTGGAGAGGTTGGCTGGAATGAACGGAGGCTCTGGGGCACAGAAATCCTGGAGGTGAAATAAATACAATAATTTTTAAAATCAAATAATTGTAGAACTGTAAAATATTACCAGACTAAATAAACCTGAGTCAGTTATTGCCTTTACAGTAAAGTGGCACCAGGTAAGTTAGGCCTCCTGTCGTTTGAGCAATCCTTTATAAGGCGCTGCTCCACTATCACAGTTACAGGCTATATCCAATAATGTAAGAAACTTTCATACAAGCTGCTTTTACCTAACGGCTGTACTCAAAAATGTGTCGACAACAAGAGCATAGAACCAGCTGCTTCTCAGGAGAACAGCACCAACAGCTTCAGTCCTACACAAGATGCCTTAAGCACTGAGTGTAGGTCACTCAATTCTGTGCCTTAAGGCATCCAAGCGTGTGCATTTGTCAAGTGCAACACACACTCACTGAAGTTATCTGCAGTTACGCTGGTAAAATGAAAGCAAACAGACTTGAGGTAGAACATGCACAGAGCACATGCTAATGCAGAGTTCTGCTTCTCAGAAGACACATTAATAATTTAGACCGATGGAGAGAAAGATGTTAAAAGATATTCACTCAAATGTTATTTCTAATTTTAAAGCACATGTGCAGTTGTGGCTTGGGAAGTTGCTCCAAATCAAAATATGGTTGTTTCTGATTAACGTAAGTTTAACAACAATAAGCACAGTGATCCAAGCATATAGAGTTATAGTTAAATGCAAATGGCAATTTTACATTTAAAAAAAGTGTTTTGAAAAAAAATCATAAATATAAAAATATGATAAAACCTGTAACATGTGGAAAATGCGACAAAATCATGACGCTGCTCCAGATCAGAGTATTACTATTGCCAAAGGCTTTGTTTTCTTCATTATACTAAGTGAACCATTAGAGAGTGTCAAGGGTGGGATAACGCCAGCTGAAAGTGTTACTGAAGCCTGTAACAAGGTGATGTTCTGACAAATGAGTATTCATGAAGTACTCAGACCCCATCCATCTTTGAACTCTGCCTTCATTTGCAGCTCAGCTACACACATTTAAATTTGTGTGACTGCAGCTCAGCGTTCAAACTATCACCCTGACAAAATCTGTCCCGACAGGAAGACAGACCCACCTGCCGAGCAAAAATAAAAACTTTTGGTAGTTCCTGTTAAAGCAGATCTCTCCAGGATCATATCTGGCCACGGTGACATTCAGAAACACACAGGGAGACTCGAATCACAAGGCGAAGGCTATGCTATGCTACTGCAAACTAGCTGCAGGAAGCCGTTCCTTTAGAAAATCCAATTTGAACAGAAATGTAATTTAATGTTGTCCTGTTAGTCTTTCAACAGCTTTCCGGGTCCAAAACAAGCTGCAAGTCAGGAGTGAATAAAAGTCATTGAGAGAGCTTCTGTGGTTTGTCTAACATCTTGTGGGGGGGCTATAAAAAAGTGCTTTTATCCTAGTCCTTCATCATCATTATTCCCACACTTGTGTTCCTTTTCCTTACTCATCCCTCCTCATTAGTGTCAGGAGACCTTCTGCTTTAAAGCCGGAGGGCAGATATGTGGCTCCTAATGAGCGTTAGCATGTCGATTAATCGCATGCCCACATACATGGGGTACATAATCTCACACGCACACAGGCCTAGATACACGACGTCCTAGGTGCTGAATGCACACAGGCGTGAAATATTAAGCAGTGTAAGGGTTCTGAAAGCTTCAAAAAAAGAAGGTATATAAATGAGAGCAAGAGCTGACTGAAGACAAAAGAAAAGGCAAAGGCAAAGCGCATATGTGCAGACATTGAACTGTAGACATTTGCAGCGACACTCACCTGATGCTGTATGTATGCATGCACTCTCTCGAGCATGCCCTCGCAGGTGTATTCATAAGGCAGATAAGGCTCGACCTGAGAATCACACGTGAAAACACACAATCATCACCACGTTATTATTGCCACATTTTACTCGCAGTAAAGTGTACTTTTCGTTTTCCTTCCGCATCATTGTTCTCAGTAATTGCAATGAATTGTCTCTTCTCCTTGGTAATTTGAGCTGACGAATGTTTCTATTGTCAGGTTTCTGCGAGGCCTAATCACAGTATGTCACTGCTTGGAAAATCATTAGGCTTTATTTGCATACCAATAGATCATCTCCTCCTTTGATGTGCTGGTTTTATAACTAAAGCACACTTTTGATTGCTCTAATTAGAGATGAGCTGGAAACACCATATATCTTTTGTGTCTCTTGCTAATACCAACATGTTCAATACTTGTTAACAGACTGTCTGACACAAAAGCCGATGAATACGAAATAGTTGCAACTGCAGTGCTGGGATTAATAAAAAAATGAATTTAGCAGATTTCATAAAGTGCTAGACTGCTGATATTCAACAGCCACACTGTACAAAGACACACGTTCAAGTTTTATATGAACTAAAATGATCCTGTTACACACTCCAACCAAATGAAAACACATTTTTTGTATTTCTAACTGCAAACACCAAGCTTTGGAGAGATCGAAGTGGATTGTTTTTATGACCTAATGCAAAGACCTGCCTTTGTAAATGATACATGACTCACTAAATTGCATTTCCTATGTGAAATCAAAGCAGTCTAATGTTCAACCATCTGTGAAATCAGACTTGGCCCATTTCAAGTGAAAACCACTGAGAAGCAAACATGCAGGGATGGTGCAATTTAAAAAGCTACACACTGCAATCTGATCAAAGCCTTATGCTAATCTACTTTATAAGCAGGAGCAGAAAGCAAACATTTGAACAAGGACAGGCACACAAGCGTCCTGCAAAAACAATCAATGGACGTGTCCTTTTTCTAACAGCGTTCTCATTCGCCTTTGCTTAACCAGGCATAGTGACCCAGGCGACGTTCGCATTTACAGGTGCGGCTTTGAGTGGAGCTTTTTGAAAAGGTGCTGGCAACACTGGCAGCGGGTGGAAGCAAAGGTTTCAGGTTTTGGGTGTATGAAGGCATTTAGCACTGTTTTGCTCTATTTTTTATTTTTATCACATTTGTGTAGTTTAGACTTGTGACCTTCTCTTCTTTAAGTCCTTTCTGATGTAGACTTCACTCAAAAATCAAATAGAATGAAAATCCCATTTGCATGGTTCGCTAACTGAGAAGATCTATATGATTTTCTTGGGTGTTGTTGTTGGTCTCATAAATCATCCTATCTTCAAACTCTTTTAAAATATGTGCTTAACAAAACCTTCTAACCGACTAGAGTCCAGAAAGCTGTTTTTTTGTTTTTTTTTTTAGCAGTTTTGACAATCACCACTTTGTGGCTGTATACCTCCACCAATCAGTAAAGTTGGAGACGTTGGATCATTTATTCAGATTTGGACAAATGTGAAATATCGTGACAATGGAAGTAATCACTTGAAATGAAGGGAACTGGGTCTTCTTTTTGGTTTATGAAGGCATTTCACTTCTCGTCCAAGAGGATTTTTTCAGCTCTGAAAACTAATGGGGAGTGCCAGATATTTAACCTGTAGTGGGGCTGTCCCCTTGGAAACAACCCCACCACATCCCAATAATAGTTGACCCACCCTGGGGTAGTATCATCCAACACCTTCATGACCCCAAAATAAATCCAGTTGCCTTTATTTCAAGCCATTAAGACTACCATGAACTAGATGCCTAAGAACCTATGCAGACCTGTCACAATCAACCTACTTCTGTTTCTGAGTTTGGCATTGAATAATGATCAGGCATCATATCATCATTTTATCATAATAAGTATGGCCAAAATTTTGTTTATTATGGTCAGAGTGACCTTGACTTTTGCTCACCCTATTAAGACTACTTCATGTGAATGTTAAAAAACCACATTTAAAACGCCAATTCCCATAAGACATGGAACAGGGAATAAGAAAAGAAAGAAAGAAAGAAAGAGATGGAAAAGGGTTTTATTTGAACATGAGGACTTGTTGGCCAGAGATTGCTTTGTCTTGCATGACTGAACCTGAGCCTCTGCCTCACACACGGTTTGTGTATGCTTGCGTGTGCCTTGAATTTAATGGATGTAATGTGCAGGTGAGGCTGTGTGTACTGATACGTCTCATCTTTGCAATTTCAGTGTATGAGTTGTGTTTATGTGTTTGTTTGGGTGCTGGGGGTGGTGCGTGTATATGTTGTATGGGTATGTGTGAGTTTGCTCGGGGCATTGTGCCTCCAGTGAAGGGTGAAGTGGTCCATCAGCTCTTTCTCCGTGGTCTGTCAGTGCAGATGGAGAAGGCACACTAAGCCAGTGTTGCTGAACTGTAGCTTGTCTGACTACGCAGACGAAAAGATGAGAACAGCCTCTCTCACACTCACACACACTGACAAACACACACACACAGAGCTAACACTACATATATCAGCTTTTGCCTAATCTCCCTACATACCATCTCTAATCTGCAAAGGGCAGACTGCTACAGCATGTTTAAAGGATCATGCAGACAGCTGTCTCCATGTTTCCTGCTTCCCTATAGACCGATGCCTTGTTCGAGTGTTACTGTGACTCGTATTCCATATGTAAAATATGTTGCATGTCTTGTGGGATGATGTGTGTTCACAGAGTTAAATGCCAAAAGCGTTATACCTCAGCCATAAATGTATCCAGATCCATCAGATTTCCATCAGATTTGACAATAAATTTAAATATACCTTAGTGTATGCAGAACAAAATTACCATTTATAAATTCAAGAGGCCAGTTTTTGTGATGCCAAAATGGTTAGGATGGTCAATTCTCTAGAAATTCGATTCTGCGTGAAAACTAGTGATTCACAGCTTCACCTCTCCGAGTGTAAAATGCAGTTTTGAACTTCAATAAACATTATTTAGTTTCAGATATGAAAGGTCTACCCCTATATTTTAGAGTAGAAAATATGCCTGCTTGGCATATTGGATTTCTGTTTTATAAAGATTTTGTGACTGTGCAGATGCTTGGTCAGTGTACTCTCCATCTTTCAATTTTTCTGCTCATATAATTCATTTTTTTCAACATTGCACCCAATTTCAATGCTTTCTAAAAAGATTCAGTGTACCTGGCTGACTCTTTAATTAACCCTGCTCCCTCTCTCGGAAGCTAGCGTCCTTAATCTATATCACATTCACCGAATTGAAAAGTTCAGCACTCTGCAATATAACTCTGCTACCTACAAACGGCAAGCTCCCTCTGGAGGACTTGACCACAGCAAAATTATTGTGCTGTTTCATCAAAGTTTAAAAAACTGTTATTAGGCTCACAGCAACAAGAGCAGGTCCAGTACTTGTATTTTATCACAGCTTCAAGGGAAAACAGAATAGAACAAACCGTGCTATCTGTAAGAGTTATTTATCATTGAACGCTATACAAAACTGAAACGTTATATTACAAGGCACAAACCAACTGCAATTTTCCTGGCCACAAAGGCACAAAAGCAATAGGTGGATAAGTACATGTAGCTATTCTTGGCATGTCTATGAAAACATGTTTGTTAAAACAGAGATGTCCCTCTTTCAGCATGAAGACAGCTTATACGAGTGAAAGAGCACCCAGTCACGGTTAACCTCATTTATACACAGCAATGCATAATTTAACTCAGTGTAACTAATTAGTGGACATAACAGGATAAATGGCTATGTCTTTTGTCTTTATGAATTCTTTTTTAAAGCACTGATATATGTGAGCACCTTGGTCCTCATGATTTCCTTGATAGCAGAGTCAAACTCCACAGAGTTGTTGTAGTCCACTGTCATGACGTGAGGTCGGCCAATGTACTGCTCTGCGTATGGGTGCTGGGAGAATACCTATAGAAAACAAATGCAATGTACACAGTGACAGCTCTATAAATAAATGTTTTGCAAATAAATAACATCTCTCCACAAAGACAACACTTTTAGCTGCAGAAAAGTCAATTTGTCTTTATCAAATGAATACTGTCAATCATTATTTTGTACAAAGACACATAAAAATAGTTATACTGTGTCCATTAGTGTGGCAAGAATGCAGTCTGGATCTAATGTTTGAGCCACTGCTTTAATGAATCTGTTGGCAGCATGACTGATTGTGGGAAGATATACAAATAATGAACCTACCTCTCTAGATGTGGGCTTGCCTCGGAAAAACTCGTGATTTAGTGAGCTGTGGGGTGGGTTGAACTTGGGCTGGAGGAAAATGCAACCGTTGGCTATAGCTTCAAGAGGGGCCGGGCCCTCGTATGGGAAACCAAAACCAATGAAGAGCTAGGAGAAAAAAAAAAAGATAATTCAGGGATGTAATTTAGTGATTGTGTAATTTAAAAGCAGAAGAATTTAGTTTAGAAGTTAGAAAAGCAGAAGAAAAGTTTGTAAACACTCTGTCCATTAAACAGTGGTGACAATGACCACAAAGTTCATGCCTTGGCCTTCCGCAATAATTGCTGCAGCTCGTGCTGGGGCAGCAGGCCGTGGTTCTTCACAAAGGCTGGGACCTCTGGAGGTCTCTGGGTCTCATAGTAGACTGTGCCGTGGACTTCCATGTATCTATGGAGAATCTGGAGGAAACTCTCTTTACCCTGCTGGAAGAAGATGGTTTGGTGAGACTGGTGAACTGCGATGACATTTAGATGGGTCGTATAGAAGAAAGAGTGTGTAATAGGAAAAACACCATAAATAGATTTTTAAAAAATGGTGACCGATCTTTTTTCTTATAATAATAAATATATAGTTAGAGTGTGGGACAGTCATATTAAATTTAGCTGAAGTTTGATATAATGAGGTCAAAATCCGTACTAGTAATCTTTCAAAGACAAAAGCTCAGGCTTCAGACTTCTTTAAATGCTCCATTTCAGGCAGTTTTTTCTCTAATCTTGGCTCTGTATGATGTCGGTCAGTGCATCTGTTCCAAATAACTAAGGCGCATAGCTCTGGCTGTAAACACAGAAGCCCCAGAAGAAAGCTGGATTGAAGGAGGGACTGCAAAGGGAGATAAAAAGGCTTTCAGGTTCAGCAGGTGACCATATGCCACATAAGTGAAATGCAGCAGCCTGGGTTTCAGTCAAACCTACAGGCCTTTGGTGCGAGTCTTTCCCAGCTCCAAACCTTTCTGTCAAATCTACAGTGCTTAACTATCCAATGAAAGCAAAAATGTACCCCCATCCCAAAAAGGCTTGTTTCACATAGTGGATAAAGGGGCTGCACCAAGGCCAAGAATCCAAGAGTACAAATATGAGGGTAGAAATGAGCATTATAGGTCCTCTTTAAAGAACTTGCTCCACTACAGTGTGCTGAATATTTTCATGTCTTCTAACTTATCTGTGTGAATTTGCGTGAGCTACGGGAAGCTTATGCATATGTCATTTTATAAAGCAGATTATGCTCACATTATTGGTTCTTCTAATCACTATCCGTGCTTTTCAGTCACCTGACCAACTCACTACTCTGGTGGGCAAAACATTACGGACAATAGTGGACAATCGGTAGTAGTGCAGGACAGTGTTGGAAAGTGTTGCTTTTTTTCCACCTGTCTTGAGCCAAGACTGCTTGGATCATCCATCAATGGAGGAAAAAGAAGATAGGAGGTAAAATTTGTGATCCATATTTTGCTCAGGCAGCTCGGTGACATCTACGTATATCTTGTACAGAATCCTTCACATTACACTGATGTCAGGATGAACGCTTGTACAAACAGCTACATATATTTTCGATCTGGATGGGTGAATAATGCCACTGTGTGAAAGCTGAAGAACAAGAAATAGTTCATTGTTAAAGCAAAAGTAAGTGCTATATAGTGCGTTTTGGTGACTTTTACATTTTAGGGCTAGAAAATTTCTGTCTGTCACACTAATATTGTATCATAAGTGTAAAGCTGTGCGAATATTTTTCCAATGTCAGGTAAATCATTTCTACAGTTTAAATGAGCCATCCGATAGCACAACAACTATGCACCATTTTGGCTAAATTAAACTGAAAAACGTTCAAAGGATGGATGAAGGACAAAGACCACAGTACTGTTTTTGCCCGCCTGGTGGGCGTGTCCCAGTAGCTCTTATGGGCTCTTTGATTTCCTACTTTTTCTACAGGGGTTAAAAGAAGCAGTCTAGTCCTTTTTTACTCAGTGAAACAAACACAGGGCCGTTAGTTTCATTTGGTTGAATTCTTACTTACACCCATGAAAAATGCACCAATATACACACCGAATATTAACATGTAGATGAAAACTGCCTTCTGTATAACCAGCAATAATTTTTGAGTTCTGCACTCCACTCATCCTATTACCTGCTGTGAAGTTTTCTTCACCTTTAATTAATACCGACCTTGACGTGAGAAAGATGGTTGAATTTTGATGTGCAAAACAAAACAAAACAAAGAAAAAAAAGAAAAAAAAAAAGAAAAGAAATGAACAATCCTTAATAAAAATAAAATAAAATGTCAGTAAACTCTGTGGAGAAACATCTGGCAGGCAGGTATTTATTTTGCTGCGCTGAGGCTTGGTTTTAAGCAGGATAAAGCATTGATTGTCCTTATTCACTTACTTACACTTACTTGTACATACTTCTCTCCTTTTTTAATCTAATAATATATACATTACATGCTGAGGGTGAGACAGCCAGAAGGGCAGTCAAGGTTCAGCAGAACGACTGGGAGAAAAAACAGCTAGCATCAGTTAACAACCAAAATTTAATCATGTGAACGGTGCATAACCCCGACTAGAGTATTGACCGCCTGGCGTTAAGCAGCTTACGTTATCCCTCTGCTGTGGCCCCCCTCCCGCGCACACAGAGCCATAATTGGAGGCTGTAGTAATCGATAGCTTCCTCTGTGAGGATTTTCCCAGCCAATTAGAAGATTAGCTCAAGCGCTAAGTGCACCAGACAACGGCAATGAATTAGCAGGAGAAACACAGCTGTGAAAGAGTGCAGATTCCATAACCTGCACTCTCGCTTTGTGACTATGTATGTACAAGCTAACCGTCTCAGCAGGGAATGGATTAGGAATGCTAATAAATATCTGTTGTGCTGGTTTTTTGTCCCTTACCTAATTTGGTTTTATAAAGATTTAAAAAAAGAAGAGTGTATGTATATATAATGTTGATTTCTGTGTGCACAGAAAGATATTTTTTTTGTTTATAGTACTTTCATACACATTTTCTTTCATATACAGCACCATGTATTTAAACAGTTAGCTGTATGCTGATGGAATTGTAAAGCCAGTGTTTTATTATTCAACTCTTTTGGTTCCTTAAATTAAATATTTCCATAGTATCTTCAATCTCTTCATGTAAAACTAAGCCAAATTTTTAGAGCTCTTTAATGTTATCTTACATAACCTTAACTGTAGTTTCCAAACTTCATGACAACTATACAGGGGGTGAATTTTCAAACTCATTAGCTTTAATTGTATTGAGGTTTAAAGTTGCAGCAAGACTGTTTTGCCTTGTTCAGCATTCTGTTGTTCTCCATGGGGTGGGAAGCTGTGCCGTACAAGTACAATATGTTTTAAACCAATTCTTGGAGAGCCTAAATTAGCATCCCCTCCCTCTCCAGTACCACAGTGAATAATGGATGCACCAAGCTAACCAGCAGAGAAATGACATGCAGCAGCATGACCGGCCAGGAGTCGCACCTGTCTTTCATGTTGTATGCATCCTAACAAAGTTTGTCTATTCCTAGACATGGAAACGATGCAACATTACTCTCCTTTTTTTTTTACTCTCCTGCACAAGTGTAGGATGTGAGATGAATATAAATTGGTAAAAGTAACACCTTCTTACCTGAAGCTAATGAACACCCATCCGGTGACAAGGTCCCCCACAAGGGAAAAAAAAGAGTGACACAAAGAGAGTAAAGTAAATTGAGGCAGAATTGTAGCCAAACAAGGTTGCAATAATTGGTAGAAACAGCTATGTGTTACATTTACTTCCTTCCTCATCAAACTGTTGCAGACTGTGCATTCATAACTGCCTTTAAGCCCATCTCTCTCACAGCCAACAACCATAAACTAATCTGGGGACTTGTGTGGGCAGACAGTAGAAAGAAATGGCAGCAAACAATGTTTTACAAATCCTTTTAAAAATGCAGACAACTTTTTCTCAGCTACATTGAGCATATGAACAAGCAGATAGTTTTGGAGAGGAAAATTGCCTGTAAATTGAAGCTATACAGTTGTGTATAAAGAGCCCTATGAAGCAAACTAATGGTGCAAGCAGCTTGGTGCCTTTCTTCTGTTAACATTTCAGTCGATGGTTTAGAGTATTTGGTTTAAAGATTGTGTCTGCATACATGCAGGCTGAAAGACAACTGGGCTGTAGTGACAATCTTTCTGCATATACAATGCAACTATTGTGCACTGCAGTATCTCTGGCAGCCTCACATTTTGTTTCTGCAATGTGAGTATGACCCCAAAATACACAACTACAACCATGAAGAACAAGCTTGAGTGGCTAACAGAAGTCTCCAACAGATGTTATGCATCCTTTGAGCAATGATTTAAAAAACAAACTAACAAAAGCACGCAGTCTGAGACTGCAAAGAGACATACAATCAACGGAGGCAGCCTTACTCTACAAAAACAGTTCTCCAAGATGCTGAGAACAACCCATCTGCTTTAAAAGTACCACGGAAAATTTGTAGAAACTACACCTACTGTATAAGAGAAGTAGTGCTGTAAAGTTAAAGGTTACTTACACATGATTTCATTTTGTTTTTTTCTCTTTAGTGCACAATGTATGGAGTTAATCTATAAAAAATGAATGATCCTCATTTTACTCTTAGTGTATACAATATGAGATGTTTATGAGCTTATTAAGTGTATTGTACAGGTGTAAACATGTATGTATGTACCTACGAGAATATGCTTGGATACATTATATTATATCTACTGATAATTCTAACAGTATTACATGTTATTTTATTATTAAAAACTAGGCCTCCAAATAATTACTTCTTCCATGGAGTCATTAGCGGTTACCACTACACACAAAATTCACTAAAACAGAGTTACACTGACTGACTGCCATCTGTGTGTGTAAACTGTTGTCTGTACCTTCCACATGCTGGCTTCTTTCCCATACACTACAGCCATGTTGTTGACTTTGTTCTGTTGGATGCTCCTCTTCTCCGTCTCATTCAGCTCCTCCGAAACAAAGCCCATAAATGAGTTGTCTGGTGTGTGAGCTGAATGTATTTGTGTGTGTGAGTATGTGTGAGCAGCACAGAAAGGTAGGATATTAGTAGATGGAGAGAAAACAAAAGACAAAGAGAAAAAGAGAGATAGGAAGAAAGTTAGTGAGTAAGTAAGTGAACGAGACAGGAAAAAGTACTTTATTTTTGAAGGGTTTAGTCAGCATGTGTGTGGACTCTCTAAGCATTATTAATAGCGATTGTCATAAAGCCAGCTGCTGTTAATGGTAATTGTCTGAGCTGTTTAGTATGGGAATATATGTAATATTTTTTTAAGTACTCGCTGTGAGTTCAGGTATTTCTGATGATCACAACCACCCACGTTCAATCCACGGTTCCAAAGCTACGAGCTCTTATAAAATCATTTTTTTTAGCACAGCACATTTTTATGCACTGAAGAACTCTAATAATTGGCCGGTAATGCTGCTCTCTCACAAGCGTTGCTAGAGGTTGAATCTGTCATTATAGCTTTGGACAGTGTGAAACGTGGCCGTCCACAGTGGGCCACATATTGATGATATAATGACAATGATCTTACATCCGAGTGCCAGCTGTAGCTAAACAGGTACGGCACTGCAGAGAGTTGAACTGTGGAAGCAGAACAGAGCTGATTCTCAGTGTTTCAGTCAGAAAGTGATGAGACAGGCGGCAAGGAGAGCTTTGAAAAAGCAGATCAGACATATTGTGTAGCATATAAGAGAACCGGAAAAACTGGAGATAACGCTCCGAAACAACTTGAAGGGATGCTAGAAGCTGCTGTTGCTGAAAATAGCCGTGTTAAACACATTGCTCCAAATTAAAATGAACAAGCAGTCAGACCTGTCAGAAAAGTGAAAACACTGAAATGGAGTCATTTTATTATATTTAGAATGAATGTCAACTAATGACAGGCCTTTGAATGTGTGTCTGTGCACGTATGCATGCAAGCTGGAGGTACAAAAACACCAATTCTCAAGCTGATGGTGTATTCTACATATGATATAAAAGTTAATAATAATAATAATAATAATAATAATAATAATAATAATGATAATAATAATAAAAATAATATAGTACATACGGAACATAGTCATGTACTGCCTTGCATTGAGGTTCCAGTAGCCCCAGTTGGTCCGGTAGCCATGCAGAGTTGCATACTCCTCGTGATTATAAGCAGGCTCCGTGCCAAAGGTGTCAATCACTCGAATATGACACCTACAAAGAAAATGACAGACTCAGTTCATGTGTAATCCTTTACTACATTATTAAAAAAAAAACACAAAAAATAATTAAAATGTCAGTATATTTTACTTCAAATGGTCCATGAGTTGTTGGCGGCTGTTAAAATGTGCCTCTTTGTCATTTCAAGTCAGTAAATTTCTGAATTTGCTTTAACCATTATTTAATTTGTAACTTAACGTTTTCTAATGTGAAGCAGGATAGCAGGAGGATTTCTTGTCTGATCTTGGTGATGTCTGATAAGTATGAGCTCTGGATCATTTGTAGTATCCAGACTGAAGTTTGTTGGTGAATACGTCACAAGTCTTTCTGGTTTTCCATCTTTGACAAAAGTCTTACTGGCACTAGCTGACAGCCATAGATGAGCAATCAAAAGTTTACACTTGAAATCACCTGGATTGCCTAGCTAAAGCTACTTTCGTCTGCTCGCTTGCCACAAGGGGTCAGCAGAGTGGGTAGTGTCGCATGTTTGATTTAGTAGTTTTTACACCAGATGCCCTTTGTGATGCAACCCAAAAGGGGATTTGCATCTCCAGCTGGAATCAAACCAGCAACCTTTCACTTGCCAAGTAAATGTGGTAACAGTTACACCACTGGAGGGACTAATTGCAGTGTCTAACTAAAAATATATAAAATATATTAACCCAATTCTTTATGGTTCTATAGACCATACTTCATGTTCAATACATGTACAATTATATATTTAAATGCATTTGTGCAGCAGGTCATTCAGGTGGAATGCCACATTAGAGTACAAGGCCATCAGGTTTCTCAAAAGTGAAAGGAGAAAAACAAGCCGCTGTCACTGGAGAAGCAGATAAATAACCAAAATAACATAAGCAACCAGCAGTGTGGCAAGTTTGACATAAAAATGACAAAAAAACAATTTTTAGAGGTCGGAGGTGCGATGAGCTGCTGATAGAGTTTCCAGGTGGATGCTTCGTGGCAAAGCAGTGAAGCATAACTGAGGTTCATAACAGAATCATTCACCACAGACAGATGCACATGCAGAGCTCACTGTGCCCTTGTTTGCGACTGTGTTAAATCTGGCCAGTATGTGGACTCAGGGGGGATTAGAGAGAGCTAAAGGAGCAGAGTCCACTTCCTCAGCTCTGAGTCTTTCCTGGCAGATAACCGCGTGTCTGAGTGTGTAAAAGAGACAGATATGGGGTAATAAAAACATTCTGCATCTGGAGAGCAATTAGAAGGCAAATATTACATCAGTAAAAAAAAAAAAGCTAAACTATTTCCAGGCACGTGACTCTTCTTGTAGCTGGACACATGTAACGATTTTCAGATGCCAGCATTTGTGCATTACGATTTTATTTCAGCTTCGGTTTAGCTTTGTGATCTTATTTGCTTTTCAGAAACTGCAACAAGTTTGTGTCTGCAGTAAAACCCAGCCTGCCAGCTCCTTTCATTTGGCCATTGCCTTTCACATCTTAGCAGCCCCTTGACAGGCAGATGCTCTCCGACGCAGCAGTGAAGCAAACCGTTCACATTTTATGTTAGAGGTTAGGTTTTTTTTTTTCTTCTACTTAAGCTGTTTACAGTGCAGAAATTGGTTTCTCTGGCTCTCCCATGATGGATATGTGTTGAACATTGGTGTAAATAGTGTGTTAAAAAAACACTTATTTGCTGTCTGGAAAGCCTTCACCATAGCCTGATAGCTTTTGAACACCAACTGGATGAAATCTCACGTTTTCTACATTCGTTTAGATTATTGCCTATTGTTAATATTTTTTTTTGTGCAATGCACTTACATAAATGCATTAAACAAATAAGTTAGAAATGCAGGCTTTAAAGCTTAGAATCTGACTTCCTGCAACTGTGTTTTGGTAGAATACCTAGATGTCTCTTTCGCTCTTTTCTTTTCTTTTTCTTTTTTTTGCATTTACACAATTTCAGAAGCTTCAGTATTGACAGCATGAAAAATATTCCCCTCTGGGCATTTTATTCTTTTTACAGACATTGTGACACCCCAATCGTGTTTGACAATTCTCAGATATTTCTGCCAGCTACTGCAGCATCCAAGAGGCCAGCCAATAAAGTGACAAAGTTATAACCTGGAGAGTAACGTATCAGCAAGAAAACAAATAAATAAACAAGAAACGACAAGCAGCGGCACATTGTTCATTCAAAGTTCTGAGGATGGAATTTTGCAGAAACTGTTGTGCTTCTATTTGTAAGTATATCCGAAAGCTGATGATGAATTATTAATAACGAATGTTACTTTCACTCGTCTCTACCCCGTCTTCTTGCGTCCCTCACTCCAACCTGCGGCATCACATATCGACCACTCTGAAATGGTGAAAATGTTTCTGCCACCAGATAAGAAGTCCCAAAGGGAGGGAAAAAGTGGAAGAAGAGGGGATAAGCGTAGGAGTAGCTGAGCTGAATATCTATTGGGAGATCAGAGCACCGGGCTAATCTGGGTTAAACGGTTGCTCAGCGAGACTCGCCAGTCATCTGGGGTGAGGCGAATATGGCAGCATGGTTCATTTTCACCTGTAGTCTTGTGATGTAAATGTGATGTGGGATTATAAGAAACTGGGCATCAGTGGACAACACCACCAATATTTAATAATGAATAGTGCAAGCATTAATTCAAGAGCAACACGTTCTATTCTGAGTGACTCATTTTTATGTTTGAAATATGGATATACTCAAACCCATAATAATCTGTTGTTGGAAGTCACCAGACTAATGCGATACAATAGTAATTAGGAAAACAACATGTTCTCCGAGTTGCTCCGAAGATATGTTGCTGTGTCGCAGATGTAATGAGCTACCTCAAGATGCTCTATGTCTTTTTTTTTTTTTTTTACTAAAATGATGAATACATCTGTGCTTTGTTTGTGTAATTACAATGCCATTTTCCCTGCTAAAGCTTAGACCTCACATGCTGCTCACCACATGCCTCCTGCTCATGCAAGATGTAATAGTGAAAAAGTGTCAGACTGCAACCAGGGCTCTCCACAGCTCTGTGAATGTAACTAGTTGTTGGAGGTCAGCTGTTACCCAAGATGAACTACTCATCGCAAAGTACCTAAGAAACAGTTTCTGTGTCCTGTGTAACCCTGCGATAATCGTTGCACTTCTTACGTTAAGATTGGGCTCAGTTACACTCGTCCACACATTTTTCAAACAGAGAAGCAGAGATTTGTTACCCAGCTGGCGACCAGCAAACAGTTGGTCGCTCACTGATCAACCTCAGTACACCAACAATCAACAGTGAGAAATACAAACTACAAAATATTGCTTAAATGCATCTCTCTGAAAGCAGTGAGCTGCAGAGTTATTCACTAATTCCACCCATTTACTGCAATCAGCCCAGAAGCCTCTGGCCACTTTCTCCATCGTAGTCGTTTCCTTTGTTTGTTGAGCTGTCGAGATAAAATCTTAATAAAACAGAATGACGTGTCTAAAATACAACTTATTGATTTTTAGATATAATTGCTATGTTTTTTCTTGTTGTGATTACAACAATTCTGAAATTTGATGAAATCTTTGAACATTCATTTACTTGGTTAATCTACTACACAAAAATTCACAACTCTTGACTTCATCTACAGTATTATGTATGTATGCATATGGCACAAATACTGCCCACCCCTATTATAACTGAAACTACAGCACTGACAGTTGCGCATCACTGCCTTTTAAGGAGATTTGTATAAATGAATAGTGATAGAAATTTTCTTGCACCTCAGCAAAGATAGTAATCCTACTGATTATGTGCTACCTAATTGCTCTTTCTGCCTGTATTAGCATTAACAAAATGTCTCTCTAAAAAGTGCAGGGATTTTAGCAATACCTCCTCATTGATATGCTAACTGCGCTGTATAACACGCACACGTACTGGTGGTTTCATTCAGTTTTAGCAACAATACTTTGTTATTTGTGTTTTGTTGCAGGCCTCACCCTTGATATCTGCTCCGATCTTGCTCTGTCAAAGCAGTGAATTCATCATGCAGAGGAAATCAATAATGCTGGTCCTATTATCAGATGAGATGGTTTGGATATTACCTTTATCAACTTTCACCATCTTTAACGGCACACGTGCACTGATATACCCTCGAATGTGCGCGAGTTCGCACACAGGAGTACGCGTGATTCCAAACAGCACGCCGGACTGGACAGCACCGTCTTGTTCGGGCATAATTAATGACCGTGGATGTTGGTGGGAACATATAACAAAAGTAATTAAAGGGAGTTGAAGGGTCCCAAAGCACAGAGCACTTGATTAATGATTCCTTTCAGTGCAAGAGACTCAACTAGACCAGACAAGGTGAGAGAGATAGAACGAGATAGAGAGTGGGAGAGAGCGAGAGCGGGGCGGAGAGATCAGGACGGAGTTAGAAAAGGGGGTGGGAGGTAGGTGTTATTGACCTATCCTGCACCTCTGGGGACTGCTGGGTTAATATTAAGCACTGATCCACTAAGCTCAGCTCTCTGGCTTTACAGCAGTATTAATTAATGGCATATGCTAGATATCATTTACCTGAATGCAAATTTGATTGCATTTTTGAGAGCTGCGTGTTACTATGGATCCACATGGGACTTAATATCCTCTGTTCACTCCTCTTCATACATTTTAAATCACTAAAGTGTATCCTTTCGTGAAAGTGAAGATAGATTTTCCTGCTTCTGTGCCTGTATTGCTGGAACATTCGGATAATTCTTTCACCGCAGCCTCCTGGGCACACAAAAGACTGTCTCCTACAAACACTAAAAGCCACATCCTGTTAGTGGAGGCAGAAATCAAGACTCCACACGGTAATGACGGAGTGAAGAACTGCTGACCTCAGCAAGCAATTAGGTGCTGACTGTCTGTCGGGTGGAAATGCGGGGTTTTGTGTGTAGGGGACAACTCACGAGAAGGGAGACAAATGGTGAGAGAGCGGGAGAGAGACGAAAAAAGGTTGTGTGCTGGGAAAATGGCTCCCCGGCCCATCACTAATCCATTTCTCTCACCCATAATTGGATTTTAAAAATACATGGAGCGGCCCTTTATATGTGGTGCCAGGTTGACTGCAGGTAACTTCTACTCCTCCGTTTTGTGGTATCTTTCTCTCTCCGTTCCGTGCTCCATCTGCGCGCACCATCGCTGTTTTATCTCGTCCTTACTCTCGTCTCCTACTGTTTCACTTTCAGTTGGCCTCCTACTCACACATGCCCTCTCCATCTTTTATCTTTCTTTGCTGCTTCTTTATGCTGGAAGCCAAAACAAGGAAAGCAAAATGTCAATTGCCGTTATCACATGCAGGGGTCAGACAAATGCCAGTTTAGTGGACCAGAAAAAATGATAGTGGGACAGAGGGTAGTGACTGCAAGCTGTTTTTAAGGAGCTGGAGAGGACAAGGCAAAAGTTCGACTTTCAGTCTTGCTTGTTTCTGAGGCAACAACATGAAAGTCCTCTGAAGATAATGTGGCTTCATATTGCTGTGCTCTGCAGGAATGTGTAGCTAAGTTTCTTTTCTTCTTCTCCTTCTTCTTTTGTTTTTTTTTTCAAATGCACTGTGGTACTTTAAATTCCTGTTTTGGGTATTTCTTTATGTTTTGTTGCCACGGTCTCATAACTGTCATGGCCTAGTTTTCCAAGTTGTTGAATGTTTGTAACAATGCCAAAAGCCATTAGCACAATTCTTTAACAGCTCAAAAATAACCCCTCTTCCTCTCTCTTCTTCTTTTCATGTTTAATCACCTCTTAACCACTCAGCAAGTCTCTGAGTGCATTCAAACAGCAATAATAAGCTGCTGAAACAGGCTTTGACTGGAAATCGGTGCTCGGATGAACAGATTTTCATGTTCCTGTGGGGTAATTAGTACACGTATGCCAATGACAAGCTTTCAATTTTACATGCACCTCTACTACTGTACTACATGTGCTTTTCATTATTGCTGATGTGCAGGGTAATGGAGCATGACAGGTGATGCTGGTGCCGGCTTGTGAGTATGCATGTTGTACATTCGACTGCACAGCAACATACAAACTCTAATGTGTTTGACATTTTGTGCACTTTGAGCCTGTTCTACCTGGAAGGGGATGCGTGATTACAGGGACAGCAAGAGTGTTTTAAGTGTGTATGTGGGTGTTAGTGTGCGTCTGCAACTGTGTGTTTGCGTAACAGTGTGATTTTAACAAGCCAAATGACTTACAGTAAGACACGTATACCTTATTACCAGCAATGATTAATCTAAAAACACAGGCAATAAACTCACAGACAGGCACGCACGCACACACCCCACTACACACAGATAAAGCAACACATATATAAACCAACGAAAAGTGAAGATACTCGATCTCAAAGGCACACGCACACACACACAACAATGCAGATCGACTAACTTGTGTTTCTTGAGTGAGAGCCCCATGTGTTGCTTCATCTGCTGCAGGCCATGGTAGTCTGTGTAGATGAGGTCAAAGGGCAATGGACCAGTGAGTGGGCAACTGCCTCTGCCTGGGGGCACGCCGAGGAACCTGCAACACAAACACACAAAGTACTCACTTTATACAAGCAGAAAAAAATGACAGACAGCCAAGACATGAGATTTACACTAAAAAACTTCCCCAAGAGTGCAGGGGTTGAACTTAAGCTTGGATTCATGCATTCATTATTAACTCACACAAAACCATTTCACTTTGCTTTTGTTATACAATACAAAGTGTAAGGCGAAGATAGTTTTAAAATGTCCTTGGACAAAAGCTGGGTGACTACAATGATGACTGCAGAACCATGTCTATGCTTGTCCGGGAAAGACATTCTCTTATCAGAGTTCAAAATGTAATTCCCCGAAGTAACGCAAAAACAAATGTTCTGTGAAAGCTGAATTTAAAGGTGTGTTTATTGATCAGATAGTACATTACAGGTGATGCTGAGTTCAATCAAAATTATGCAAGTGGGCACTGGGATGTTTTTTGTTTTTTTTTGGCAAAACATAATTCAAAACAAATAGGATGAAAAGCGCTGAATCTGTAATGACCTGGCTGAACTGTCCACAGAAGCACCATCAGCAATAACAATCAATGATGATGATGTGTTGAGAATGCCAGGTTATGCTATACAATAAGCGCTTATTTGTGCATGAACAATGATTGCTGTGGAGAAATCCAAACGTCAGCATGTCTGTCTGTTGATACACACACTCCTACTAGTTCCAAAAAGTCTATTTCAATTACAAGAAGACCTTCAAGGCACAAGCACAGGCACACGCAGGAGCACACACAGCACAAACCAAAGGAGAAAAGATATTTTTTTTGCTGTTCACTGTAGTGTGACTTGTTTTCCATCCTTGTTTGACTCTGTTTCAACTCATTGATTGACTTAGAACCTCTCTGCTACTGTGCCAACAGACCTACTATTGGATATTTGACCTGTGAATGGTCTGCTTGCTCTTACTTAGGTCTTACTTCTGTGACAGATGAGGCCGAAGGCTAATGGAGGCTGTAATACAATTTGTACCCCCAGTGAATTTCATCTTGCTGTGCTAGTTTTACATCGGAGTCTTTCTGGCTACAGTACTTATCCAAAGGGTAATTTTATACTGTTGCAAAGCATGGCTTACAGGAGCTTTGCTGGCAGCTGCTAACTAAAATCAGAGGAGGGTGAAAACATACAGATAAAGAAGCTTGATGCAGTGACTGAATTAAAGGACAGTAAAGCAGAGAATGCAGCATGTGGCTGTTTCATACA